TTGCGGGGAGATGGGCGGGGATAAATAAAATAAAATAAAATAAAATAAAATAAAATAAAATAAAATGAAACTTCTCTCACCTTCCACAGCACATTGTTGATTAAAATATGTAATATGCTTTCTTTTTGGTCTCCAAAACTATAGCTACTCATTATATATTTTACCTAGAGTTGGCTATACCAATGTAATTCATTCCATTTTCTTTGGAAATATAGTTGTATCTCAATCTGGTTTTTAAATATGTTAAAAATCATTTTGTTGAATGATATTATATTTTACTCTCAGACATAGATGTGCACTATTTGGTACATAGTCAAGTGGCAAACAGTTAAGTTCATGCCATCTGGCATAGTCACTCTGTGAGCTTTAAAAATATTTAAAAATATTCCTATAACAATGAATAGGATAGTGAGAAATAGTAATATAAGTTTTTAAGGAATTTATACTACATTTCAATATAATGTAAATATATTAATAATAATATAAGATGCATCATCATTTTTGAATTTCTAATTCACAGAAACAGTACCTTTTAAGGAACTTTGTGAATGTGTAATTCTCAGTATACTTATTTGGAAGTAAATTCTCTTGAACTTATTGAGACATTTATAAGAAAGAATTTAACTTTCAACCAGCAACATGCATAAAGCCAGATGCATCTATTCAACTATGCTATTACATGATATGTAGAACACAGTATTATAGTGTATAGATAAGGTGTAGATTTTCACTTCTGCAGCATTTGTGCAAAAGGAATGAGAGCACACAGGTCCTCAGATGACTCAACTCAGCATACACAATTCAGTTGGCAATTACGCTGCATCGTCAGGCATTTCAAGGTCTTATATTCTTTTAGCAATACTCCTACATGTTTTCAAGGCAACTGCTGAGAGGATGCACCATTCTTATTAAAGCAATATTTTAATCCAGCTGAGTCTTACAGAGTGCCCATGTCTGTTTCTGTCCGTAATCCTGTAGCACATTTCACTGCTGTTCTAAAAGAAAACTATCTTCACCATAATTTTTTTTTACAAATGGAAAGAGTGAAGACTTGCTAAAAGAGAAAATCATTGGGAAAAATTTTAAATTAAAGTATCATCATTAAGATAATGTAGATTTTCACAGTATTCTTAAATCAGCCCTTAAAAGAGAAAATAACTTTATTTTCACCAAATTAATCACCATCTCAGTTTCCTTTTCTTTTAGCTCAGTTTTACATCCACTGACAGAGGTCACTTCTGTTCATTCATTCAGCTACCCACCTTGTTAATTTACTAAATATAGGTAAGAGCAGAGTTCCTCCCTCCCTCCTCCCCACAGACAATGAATCTGTGCTTTGTGAAAACCATCTACTACTAAAGCAGCTTTACCTTTAAAGAAAGGCACTACTTTGTTTAAGTTTTAAAATACAGAATATGATACAGCTTCCAAGAAAGCAAATAACAACATCAAATATAAGTGTGTATTATGTACATAGACAGAGACAAACAGACACACTTGTGGAGTTCAGATGAAATAGAATGTCCATTTCTTCACTTACATATATAAAGGAAAAAGAATCTGCTCCCTCCAAGCCTAGTATCTCAAGCTGTTGTCTGCTAAGAGCTGCGTATCGCTTGCAATCTCTGTTTCATGAAATACTCCCCAAACTGATTGCTCTTCCAATCTGCACTGAAAACCTTCTAGCGTCACCACCCTCTTCTCCACATTGTGCTTCCACATAGCCCCACACTTTACAATATTACATAATGACAAGATTCCTCTGCCACTATCCTTTGAGAAAAATGTATTCAGGGAAATCAGGCATCAATATGAAGTGGGGCAGAAATCAAGCATTTTCCAGGAACACTTTGCTGTAAAAGTCCTATGGCTATTTATAAGAAAGAGGGGTTTTTTTACAAAAAAAATGGAAAAATATGCATTTTTTCCTGGCTTTCATTCACATGATCTTTACAGCAATCATTTTCTAACTCCCCTCCCGCCATACAACACACATCCTCCCAGCTGAAGATGGGTCATACCAAATTGCTCTAGTAGGCACTTTCAGATCAAGAAAAGGGCGATCATTAATAGAAAGTGTAGGGCTATCAAACATGCTGTTATAGTTGGAGATTCTGCCAAGCCTGGTAGTCATTTGATTGGAAAATACTTCTCTACTCCTAGAATTCTCTAGGTAACCTATTGAAAATATGTGCAACATTATCTAAAACAAAGGATTCTAACACTAACCATAATACACTGTGAGCAATACTACCAAGCTTCCATGTGCACCCATGCACACACACAATCACATCTCTTTAGAAGGAGAGAATTAAAGGTACAGTTCTCATCTATCTTCTTCCTAGTATTTCTTACAATGACCCTGGGTTAATAAAGGTAAAGTAAAAATAGTTTAAGCCAACTTACTGTTTGTATTCACTTAATCATTAGCATTTTGTTTTAAGGTATAGCCATTCATCTGAACTTGCTGTTATTTCTAGGCTTACAGAACAGAGCACAAAGAGACTTGAAATTCATGAGATAAATAGTCTGTTTCCTTCAGTCTTCAGATTATATATTGATTAGCATGTTGCGGTTGTTTAAAAAAACAGAGGCAACGGAACACACACAGTGAAGCAATCTCCATTTTAATTTAAGCAAGGAAACTGGGACCAGGGTGAAGAACAGATTGTGACCTCCCTTTAGATAGTATGAGAGGGTTCCAACAAATTAATAAAACTGAAGAAAGAAAGTAATGCATTGGGAATTTTCATGGCAAGGATGTTGAACTTGGTTTGTATGCTGATCATAAGAGAAACACAGAGCAATTTTAAATCCATGAAAGAGGATCCAAGGTTGGTCACAAAGTTTTTTTTCAGGTAACAGAGATGCATATGCAGAAGGCACAGGCTAAAAGCAAAAGTCAATAGTGGGGCTTCAAACTGTACCCAGGTGAAGTGCCCAAGCACTGTATCTATTTATTTCCTAATGCAAACGAACCAGTGATGGTTCAGCTTATTCCAAAGTGGTGGTATTTTAGGGCACTGCAGAAAAGACAAAGCAGGTGAAAGAACAGAAGCGGATAGGAACCCGTTGCTTGACAGAACAAAAGGAAACCAGGTTGGCACCTGAACATTTACTGTTCACTCAAAATAGGCACATCCTCTTTTTCCACTGAAAAGTTGCTGCAGTCAAGCAGTTCTGTAAGCCACCTACAGAACTACTGAGGAGGAGCATTTTTGTCCTAAACATGTTTGACCAGAAGCACAGATGTCTAAAACTCAAAGTGGAATTACAGAATTGATGTGACAGGCATAGTATATCTCATTAGACTTCTTTTATTTTTACCCCCATGTAATACATTCATTCCTGCTGGTCTTCCTGGGTTATTTCTTCAAAGTAAGCAAATGCTATATCATTAATTAAAAAGAAAATGACTTAAAAAACACAAAATGTATACCTTATGCCTATAACCCTTGAGCTATAAATGCTACTGTATCTTTTCCTCAAATGAGTTAAAATTATATTCAGAATCTCTTAACTATGCTGGAAAAAAGAAAACAGTCCCCCCCACACACACACAAGGGCCTTGTTTCACAATGACACTTTTTTTTTGTTCCACCAATTTTAAGCATAGTGGAGAAGAAACAGAACCTCACATGTAGCAAAGGCTGTTCTTTCACTGATGGTCGTGATATTTTCACAACACTGATGTATACAAAGGTAAGTAATAAGGGATCCAAGCTCTAAAGATAAATCAGTTTTACCAGAATAACTAACACATAAACAACATAGTATTAACAACAACTTAAGAAGCAGGTGTAAATATGCAAGGAGTTTGATCTCATTCACTCTAGCAACAACCTTGTGATTGTCAAAGTATTTGCATTTATAGGCAGGAGATTTAAACTGCATCTCCCAAATATAAGTTCAGTGTGCTATCCGTTAGAACACACAAGCCCCAGACTTCAGGAGCTTATCATCTATATCCAATCCTGATTACAAGATTCATTCAACTTTAAGATAATTTGTCCTTTCAAGGTCTTATTTGCTTAAACAATATTGATTCAAGAAATAAATTAATTAGAGTTATATCCCACTTTTTTTTGTACAGGAGCCTAAGACAGCATACGTCGTGGCCCCTCCTCCTATTTTCCTTCATAACAACAACTTTGTGATGTCGGTTGAGCTGAGAGAGAATGGCCCATATTCACTCAATGAGATTTCATGGCTGAGGGTAAACTAGAACCTGGATCTCCCTGCTGCTAGTCCAACACCTTAACTATTACACCACATTGGCTATGAAACACATAGTTCAAAAGAAAGAATCATATAATTATGTCTATGGATATGCACATGCATATATATGTGTGTGTGCATGTGCAAGTATATTATTAGTGCTACTCCATCCACAAAAGCAGTCAGTAAGCCTTCCATACCTCTCTATTTCCTGCATTAATTTTAAGCAGTGCTCTTACCCTGAATGGTAAATCAAGTTTCTCCTTCTCTGGAGCCTGGTCAAGCATGCCATCTGTGCTGCTCCTTTTTAGACTTCCATTAACATCAGGCACATTGCTGAAATCTATATTAAAAAAAAAATTGAAAAGCTAGATATCAGAAGAAAAAATATACATTTTATTTATATATAATTGTTTGATTAAAGTGATAGGAAACATAGACTCCTGAAGATCTGTTTGGCTTCTCCAGCTAAAATAACCTTTCTGAGGTAATACAAATATTTGGTCTGCTAGAACAAAACTTGCCTTCCTCAGCATCAGTTGTCTACAACGCGGCACAGTATGTGTTGGCTGAAGAAAACATCCAATACAAATGTCTGCATACACATCAAATTAATTTCTTGGATGAACACATTGTTCTACTACATGCTGTGGTTCTTAAAGTTATTAATGGCCAAAAAGCAGAGGAGGAGGAGAATCATCTTGGCTTCCTTCTTTATATTACTACTTTCCTGATATAGCAGCAATTAGGATAAACAGCTAAAAGTATAAAGAAAAGTAGAACTGTATTCTGCCAATATCTAACAATATGGGTTAGGGCTACCAGATCTCGGCTGCAAATATCAGACACCACTAGTTGGCAGCAAAGAACTGGAGCTTTTCTGGACCTCTTTGCTATCATCTAATGACTTCTGGAATTTTTGCAGCTTGGATTTAGTAGCCCATCAAAAAGAAAAAAAAATCATATAGAGTACTTCTAATTTCTTCAGCTATACAAATCATGCAAATATTAGAATGAACGGACTTTGTATACTGCATAAAGTACATATGGATATGTTCACTGCAGTAAATTTAGGCAAAACAGATGCAATGTTTGCATCTTCGAACATCAAGAATGCCAGGCAATTTCAGAGAGACTGAAAGAATTCAGTATTTTGTCTGTATTCAGGCCCATATGCACCAATGTTTCGAGTTGCCAATTACATGAATGTCACTATGTTGTACTGTGCTGACAAGCAATATATGATTCACTATCATTCAAAAAAAAAGATAATGTAGCCCACCAAACTTCAAAAAGAACACAATGTTTCCCTCATAATTAATTATTCGATTCAAAGCTGAGCACAGTGTGAACAGATGGATCATGAGCAAAGCAGCCGAGAGAAAGCCCATGAAAACATAAGAAAACACAATTCTGTAAACTTCCATAGAAATACCGACCATGCAATGAACACGGCACTATGATAAGTATCTGAACATATTCAAAGTTGAAAAAAGCAAAGATTGTATGCATTCTTCAGAGGCTTTGGTATCAAATTTGGAGGTCAAGAAAACAAATGAAGAATAAAGAAAACACATCTTTCTTTTAAGGGGGAAAAATGTCCCTCCACTTTATAAAAAGAGGAAGCAGATGCAAACTTTGCATGGTGCTTTAGCCCACTTAATTAACTAAGGTTTAACTGCATGCTACTCAACCCTGCTCTTACCAACTCACTCTTCTCTCTGCAAATGAAGAGGAAACTGCAATGAGGCATAAGGAAGAATGAGGACTTTGCTTTTAAGTATCAGCCTGCTAAATATCTTCTCATCATTTACAGTTCTATTCTGAACACTCACCCGTTTGAATTGGTGCGCTATGCACAGCGGCAAAAAAGGCTATCAAACATCGAGAATAGATGGCAAGCAGCCCTCTAGGTAAAGAGGATGGCACCTTCCCTTTTACTTTATTGACACTAATAGAGGGGAAGAAGATGGAGAACTAAAAATAAAAGCAGATGGCACAACAGAATTAGGTATGCCCAACCACTGTAGAAACTGGGAAAGTTCATAGTCAATTAGTTCTATTTTAGATCATGCTGGTGAGAGAGTCAGAGCATACACTGCCTGCGCGCGCACACACACGCACACACACACAGAGAGACACACACACAGAGAGAGAGAGAGAGAGAGAGAGAGAGAGAGAATATATAGTAACTGAACAAGAATAGAAGATCTGCTGTGCACTGGGGATCAACTATTCCATAGGATAGAGCTGAAATGTGAATATGCAAAACAACAAATTGTTTTCAAAGAAGGATCTTTTAGTGCTCAACACTGCAAAGAGAATTACGTTCTGTACATTACTCAATATAAAACTGTGCTCCCCATACTAGCCAGACTGTGCCTATCCCCATGGGCAAGATCCGAAGCACTGCTTGATCATAATTCCATTTAGATCTAACACCAAATTCCACCACGTAAGTTGTCCTTTAGCATACTTCTGAGTCTCCATGTTACCACTTTGCTGAAATGAACTCTTTAATCAATCATTTCTTGTTGCCTAATTTACAATTAACTATTTCCTCTCCAGAGCCTTATATTAGTGTAATCGTGCATCAAGAAAAAAAAACTGCTTTTGCAAAGAGCTGCCACCAGTGAAGAAGGATGGAAGGGAAGAGAAAGCCAGTTTAGTTTAGAATCAGATATACTGGCACCTTGACTATGTTGAGTTTTCCCTTCTTGAAGGACCTGTAAACTTAAATTAGCAATGCACTCCAGTTTATGAATGGAATATCATGGATGGAGGGGAGGGGAGTGGAGGGGAGGGGAAAGAATTGAGTAGCCCTCAACTTCTACTTCCAAACTCAATGTGGTTCTGGTGAAATTTAAACCAAGGGGGGAGGGTGTATTTTTTTTTTTTTTGAGGCCAAAGACTGTACTTGGCTTTCAAGTTGCATACTGAGAACCGTACTCTAAAAAGTAGGCAAGCTCTCCCAAATCTCTCACCAATAGTTTTGCCTGCAAGAGGAGCAAATTTCAGGAAGCAAATAGATTTGGGGGTTGTGTGCAAAGTACCTTAAAATAAAGTATTCTTTCTCCTTCTCCTTCTCCCCTTCCTCTTGAATCTTTAGACCAGGGGTGGCTAAAAGAAGGTGTGAGTTACTGGAAGTTGTAGTCTAGCAACATCTGGAGAGTCATACATTCTTATTTAATTCATCCTGGCAGAAATGTATAAACCAGTTACTCACACCTCTCAAAATCAGCTCTACAATCTTATAATCTGAGACCTTATACTGGAGCTTATTCTCAAATTGATGTTCATGGGACTGTAGCTGTAATCCAGCATATCTGCTTATGGAAAAGAAATGCAAGAGGCTCCTGCTGACTCAAAAAAGTGATATCCCGCCAACTGGCAATAACAGTCATTTTCCAAAACATTATTTTGAGCTTAATGCCTTCTTGTATATTACTTGCAACATATATTTTAGAGCAAGAAACCTCTTCGGAGTACATGTAAGGATTCATAAATAATATGAAATAATTATTATAATATAATGCTATCTGTTGAGTTCCCATTCTCACAACCAAGGCTGGTGTAAAGATAATTTGGTTCACGAATATTAGCACTATCTATTAGGTTCAAGAATATTAGTACTATCTGTTAGGTTCAAGAATATTAGAACACTCTTTTCGGAATGTATTGAAAAGGAACAGCAACTCCCAGAGAAGGGATTTTACCATAGAAGCATGCATGGATCAGCTATAGTAAAAATGACAGAAAACAACTGAAGACAACAGAGCTTGCATAACACATATTTGGTTCCAGTGTTAAACTACCAAAAAGTCACAATATATGGACACATTCACACAATATGCTTACCTACCAATGCTCTCCAGATCACCACCCACAACCAATCACTGGCCAATATCTACATCATTTTGGAGTGGCCTCTTGTTGCTGTTGTTTTCATTTTTTGATATGTTTAAAACACACGTTAGCTCAGTGAGGGTCAGAGCCACTATCAAAATGGTGGGGAGTAGACTACGCTTCTCCCACCTCATTAGGATTTTATTTGACCCACTTCATACTTATAGGCAGTGAAAATAGTGCCTGGAAGAGCCACTGTGCCTGTTAGCTCTAGATCCAGAGACTAGAAGGGAAGAATAATAATTTAATTCTCCTGACTTGTGAGAGTTAAGTTGAAAACCAAAGCTCCTTTGAACAGAGATACCAGCTATGTTAAAAAGCAACAAACATTCATATTCAAGGCCAAGAAGCCTAGGGCAAAAAGTCAGTTAAAGTATTGGAAGAGTGGAAGAAAGAAGTATTATAATTAAACTGCAGTAGGTATAAAGAAGGAATTGAGCCTTGAAGTTGAGAGAAAGCAATCAACTATATTGGTGGCTTCTTCCTAGTATGTAATTAAGACTCTTGTTTAGCTATGCCATGTTGTGTACTGGAGAGCCTCAAGCCTACTCAAGCCTGACATGATTGGATCAGATAACTCATGGCATAATGGTTAAGATAAATTCAGTCTAGTTACTAGACTGTTAAAAGAAAAAGAAGCAAACAGTACTGCATGGGACAATGCTTCCATAAAGTAAGAGCAAAGTGAGCCATTATGCCTGGAATCTTAAATTTCAAATACTTTTATAGCTTATTCCATTGAAAAGCAGATAGCTGCTGAAGCTTTTTATTTAGTGGTTCAGAAATGCAACTATAACTGAAGAAAATATAAAATTATGTTTTCATCCTGAAAAATGGAAACAGCTGCTGAGCAAACTGAATCCACCATCCTTAAGTGCAACCCTCCAGGGATGTTTACTTTCAAAAAATGTACAATCAACTTTCTTTCTCACATTCATGAAATACCAACGACCTGATATCATCACAAAACAGCAAAAATCTGTTCTGTTTCAAATTTTGTGGATGGTCACGTTTTGAGCTGTTTCAGCCAGAATTCTACCAAACTGTTCACATACTACACATTTAACAAACTAGTCCCCCGACCTTTTTTCTTTCATTCATTCTTGCTCCCTCTCCTTTTGTATAGAAAAATCATGACATTCTTCCAACTGTGGGGCACAGATGTAGTCCACAAGTCACTCCATGAACAAACTGCCTTCATATTTTAACGTACCTCCAGTTAGATCTTCTACACATGCACCCTTAGCATTTTTCAACATGCTCACAACTTTTATGACCTTTTCATCAATTTTTAATCTATTATTTAATATATTTTCATACACTTTTGTATTCTTCTGTTATTCTAGTTTCACTCCAGTTTCTTTCACATCTTTTCTTTTCTTCCATGTCCTCTAGTTTTTTTTTCATTTCTTTCCTTTTCTTCCATGTCCCTTTTTCCCAAGATCCACTCTTGACATACCAAGAAATGGTTTATCCATATTCTGAACCCTCCTCCCTCTTGCATCCTTCACTAATGATCTGTATCACAAACAAACAAAAATTTTAAGAGTTATATTAATTTCTTTGCCATATGAATAGAGAAATAAGCTTATGCTTAACCATGTATTTGCTAGAAACCAATCTTTTTCAGTCACCATGAACTCTAATACTAAATATTTTTTTAAACTATTTGTAATTTACTGCATGGTTGAAAAAAAAAGTTGGAAACAAAAAGTAAATTTCTGCTCTTTTCCACAACATCAACATCAAATTTTCAGGATTCTGATGCAAAAAAACTGCCTTAACAGCCTTTTGTGCTTCTTAGAAGCACATGGTTGGTCATAGCTAGAAACACAAAGGCTAGACATATCTTTGGCCTAATCAAGAAATAGGAATTCTTGTATTTTCATCCACTCAGCATATAGTCTTAGAGACTGGGAATAGGAAATCAGGATACTATTAATCAAAATTAATAGAGATTTTCATAGGTCAGAGTGTAATAATTAGGATGATAAGTCACTGCAAATTAAATAGGGCACCAACTGAGAAAGAACATGAACAGCAAAAAGAGAAACAAACCCCATTTTGTTTCTCCCATTTGGGGTGTGTTTCTATTATTTGTCCATTTGGGGCTTGTTTCTATTATAAGTCATTTGTAAAGACATATTCTATATGCTGAATTAATCTAATAAATGTGACTTTTTCACAAATATACTGTACGTTCCCAACCATTCTTCTTGCCTCCAGTTCATGATAAACATGTCTGCCTCAGCTGCTCTCTGAATCAAACAGCCAAATATAAAATACATAGGATACTGATGTTTATAATAATACTATATGTGGAGATAAATAAAAGTTACAAATGTATTACAAAAGAATAGTATCACTAGTTAAACAGCAAGAGCTCTTAGCATGGTAGATATGCCAGGTAATGCTTGCCTATAACGTCAAACTAATAAACGGAGGGAAAATCCTAAATAATGAACTATAATTTATTAGCTCCATAATCTTTGCTTTATGGCAGGAACTTTTATATGCCAACAGTCCAATTTCATTTAAATGGAACAAAGACTCATGAGATAGATGCTACTTATAGTACACTAAGACCTGCAATCAAGCTTTTGTTTTAAACATGACCTAATAAAGCTGCTTTATAATTATTAATCCAAAAACGTTTCTCTAGTGATTTTTCATGTTTAGCGCTACAAAAAAATAATTACATTTTAGGACTGGAACGGAGCTTAGACACCACCAAGTCTAACACTGCTCAGTGCAAGAATCTGCAATGATGACATCCCTGTCGGAAAGCCATCTGTTTAAATATTTCCAGAGAAAGAGAGTTTGCCTCCTCCTGTTGAAACTGCTGAGAAGTTTTTGGGTAAGAGGGCTAATGTTCCTTCTATTAAATCTTCTCTTCTATAAGCTAAGTACTCTATACATTTAACCTTTCCTCAAAGGACTAAGTTTCCAAAATGTTCTGGGCATACTGCAGGTATCTGTTACACAGAATTGGACACAGCACTGGAATCTGGCCACAAAAGGGTCGAACTGATCAATACTGTATCTATATCAGATTTTGTCTGAACATGTAAAGAACTCAAATGTTGCTATCAGCACAATTGGATCCCAAATTGTATGGAGTAACTATGTTCAAGGCAATGTAAGTACCACTCCCTTTCAGAAGTCCTCCTTGGCTGTGTGAAGACTGAGGAAAGGCCAGAGCAAACTCATTTAGTCCAGTGAATGAGCCCTTCACACATTCAAGCAATGCCTGAACGTGGTTAATTACTTCTTGTGATCTGGATGTTATACTTCCATCCATGAAGTCTGAGTTACACTAGTTGCTCTACTGTTATATGGGAAACAAAATGGTTTCTAGAAAGCATTTTCAAGTTTGAGCAGAAAAATTATCAAAATCACATACCTAATTTAGACTGCAAAATGCTTCAGTGGTATCAGTGTTATGAATCACTTGCCCCAAAAAGAGAGATTTCAATTGTACTTATAGAAGGTAAACTGCAACTTTACATGAGAGATACTTGTGCTAACTGATGTAAGAACCTGATGACTTTAAAACAAGCATGTGCACACACAGAAATACACATCAAGTAGCCATGAATTATGTGACTTTGCCTGAAGGACAGTGAAAGAAGGCTGCTCAACCCTTTCCTTATGGATTATGTTCAGACAATCAGCAACTGAAGCTGACATTCCACCAACGGAGAAAAAAATACCATTACTTGCATTACTTATGACATTAATAGAAGAACAGGTTTTGAAAGCAATTTTTCATAGAAAAGTGGCTGGAAAGGAAGTGCTAAGCAGCCTCCCTTCCAATTGTCCCAGCGGATATTTTCACAGCATCCCCTCCATGAACTAAATCTCATTAAAAGACACTGCAAGGTATTTTTATCCATATGTAAGTGATGTATAATGTCACAACACTGAGATGTTACTCAGTGTTATTCAGTATTGCCATATGTTAAAATATTTGAATATGTAATGTTGAGCAGAAACTGGCAATCTACTATTAACTTGTTTTCCCATGTTGTTTTATTTACTGATTTATTGCATTTATATCTTGCCTTTCCTTGGAAGTTCCAGGTAGCATACATGAGAGTTACCTCTCAATTAACCACACTACAACCCTGTAAGACACACTGGGCTGAGAGAGAATGACTGATCCAACACCACCCAATAAACTCAGTAACTGAGCGGACTTGAACCTGATTTTTGCTGTTTCCAGTCTAAACCACTACAGCACACTGGCTCTCAGTCAGTGTTTTTGGTAGCAACTATATAACTGGATATATACCCTCCTTTTAAGATTAAGCTTTCTTTTCCCTAAGTTGCAGTATAAAAGTGACATATATATTTTACATATGTTTATAAATACCACCCTCCCATTTATTGGAATTAATTTTGTTCTATAGAAAACAAATCATGAATTTATTGTATTATTTTTATTTCTTGAATTTATATTCTATGTTTTCTCTGAGAGCAAAAGATCTGTGAAGTTCTTTCCATATCTTAGAAAATCTTCCAAAAAACTGATCCAAGAACAAACTAATCCTTAATCAATCAACCAATTAATTGATCTTTCATCTAAAAAAAATGCTTAATACTGCTACGATACTTATGCTGTAAAGATGTCGTTTATAAAAATAAAAAATGTGTTTTAATATTATCTTCTAAAAGTTGCCGTGTTTACTGAAAAAGGAGAAATTGAAATGGCATTAAAATCATTGCATCTGCTCTTTTTATACAGGAAAAAAGTCATTTTAAAACTTCAAGCATCATCTCACCGTTTGCTGTATTCATTCTAAAGTTATCCAGAAATTCCTCCAAGAGTTGTGATTGGTTAGGTGGGGGCAACAACTTTCTTCCATCCTTGGAAATGAGACCATCTTTCAAAGAAGTACATAATGCCCTCTTAGTGCTCTTGAGATTTGTAGTCAGTGTTAGCTGTACACTTTTCTCTGAGAACAGCAGTTCCATCTGCCTGAGGTCAAGCTCAGATACAGATTCTCCATTTATAATCAAAATTTCATTGCCAACACGCAAGCCTGGGAGCATAAGAAAGCAGAAAGACTGGATAGACACAACAGTAATGGAGGACATTAAAACATATTGTAACAAATAGTTTAAAAAAGTGATTTTTTTCATCTTACTACATGTAAGTTCATGGAATGTATTGTGATGAAACAATAAATCCAACAAATGTTTTGTAAAAAAAGATTTACGTACTAAAGAAAGCTTTTTATAAAAGAGGTTAAAAGGGATAGTATGTTTCTTGTGAAGCCCCATAGGAAAGTAATTTTTCCCTTATTTAATAAAGCAATCTAGGCAAAGAACCAGGACAAAAAGCTACTGGCCTAAATCCTTCTTTTAGAATTGTACCCCAAAGAAATATGGACAAAATTCTACTTTCTTAAAGCCTTTCCTTCCCTTTTAGCATAGAACTTTGTCCAGTCTGAGTACAATAAGCTGAAGCCAAAACTCCTGGCAGCATGGGCACAATTAGCAATAAAGGAATGTAAGAAGTGAGTGGATTCAACAGGCATTAAAAATGCCATTTGATCATATCATCCTCATTGTGCAGAATTAATGGCAATTTAAAATGTATGGATAAAAACAGGATGACATGGCAAGACAAAATTCTCTGAATATTCTTAAACTGCAATTGATTTGCTCAGAGAAACCCCTACTTAATTCAATGTCTTGGTAGATAGAGCTGCTGAAATTGGTGATTTCAGCCACATCAAGGAGATAACATTTCACTCAACATGTTTTCCATATTCATATACAATAAATGCAGAGTTACCTGCTTGCTGAGGGTATGATTCTTGGAAAATAAGTCTCTAGCATGGCTTCCCAACAAACATATGTGGGGGTGAGGGTGGGATGGGGAGAAGAGTTTTTTATACATGGGCCTGCCCTTGAAGAGTATCTGGAAGCTTCAGCTGGTACAAAATGCAGTGGCATGGGCAGCAATGTACGCTCCAAGGACTGAATATGTTACACCTCTGCTCTGCAAGCTGCACTGGCTGCAAGTTTGCTTCCAGATCCAATTCAAGGTGCTGGTTTTGACCTTTAAAGCTCTACATGGCATGGGGCCAGGTTATTTGAGGGACCGCCTCTTGCCATTTACATCTACCCATCCCATCAGGTATGGCAGGAGGGCCATGCTGTGGGTCTCATTAGCTAAGGAGCTTCATTTGGCAGGACGCAGAAAGAGAGCCTTTTCCACAGTGGCACGCAGCCTTTGGACCATCATTCCCCCCGAGGTGAGACTGGCCCCAATCTTGTTGGCCTTCTGAAAGGCCCTCAAAACTTGGTTTTGCCATTGGGCATGGGGATCCCATGGAAGTGTGCAGCCTGTTGAATGGTTGTTCTGTGTATACATTTAGACTGCACTCTCCCTTGTCTTTTTGTTATTGTAGTTTTTAACTGTTTTTAATTGGTTTTAATGGTTGAATTTTGTGACTGTTTGTTTTTAATTATGTACACCATCCAGACTGACATGCAAGTGATATGGCAGACATATAAATTCAATCAATCAATCCAGTGTTCCACATAATGGTATGTTGTCCACTTGTATGACAAAAACTATCCTGCGTCAGTACTGAGAAACTAAGAAGGTTTTGTTTTAAAACAGCCCCCCTCCCCCAAAAGAGAGAGGGATAAAAAGATCCCTCCATTCATCCATCCATTCCATCCATCCTTCCTTGAATATTTATATGCTGTCGATAACTTGTACCTCTAGGCGCCTTATTTTGCCTTAGGGCCATGTGTAGGTCATTAGAAAAGGATTTAAATGAGAGAGACAGCACAAACCTTCTCTGTAAGCTATCCCATCAGGAAGAACATCACTTATAAAGATGTGGGTAAGATGCTGGTGTTCATCAACTTGCACAGTGACTGCAAATCCTGGAATTGAAAAAAAAATATTTCAGATTTGCCTTCTTTAAGAATGAGAGTTTCTGCTACTGTCTTAAAATGAGCTAGGCAGAATTAGTATTAGATAGCAATTCCACAGAAATAATATATTTTTATATTATTTAAGACGTTGCATCTCATCAATGCTGTGTATAGCTTACATAATATAAAAGTAAAATAAAGGCCATTTGAAAATAATTACTAACAGCAGAATATCATTGCTGCAGCCTTGTATCTTCAATAGCGGACACACCATCTCTCTTACCTTCCAAACCAAATCACTCTTGTCATAGTTTATTTTAGCTCCATTTATCCAAAGCCCCTATGTACTCCACTCCATCAAAGTCTTTTCTATCACCTGTGATAGCTAAACAGAACTCCCAACTTCAAAGCCAAACTATATCATTGCTAACAATGCTGGGAACAGAACACAGGACTTGCCAAGTCAACAAAACAAGTACTTCCCCTTCAGTTAATTGCCACCCAAATGAATTTATTTTTCAGATAATCTGAGCATTTAATTTTCCAACCTCAAGACTATCCTTTCAAATTTCTATTCCATTTAAGTTAATTTCATCTTTAAAAATCATATCCCAATTTCCCACCAACTGAGCTTTTCTTCTCCCTTCTCTTTCCACTTCAGTTTCTCACTTGTTATCCAATCTGATTCCATGTCAGCCCTCATCTAGCAGCCTGATATATTGACACAGGGGGAAACAACTTGGTGCCACTAAACATTTCAGACTTCAGCTTCTATCAGACTCACCCAGCAGAGATAATGGCAACAAGCTGTGGGAGATGCAGTTTCAGTTAACAGGAAGATACCAGGCTGCATCTCGGCATCTACTGGTGCCGAAGAGTCTCACAGCCATGCCATGCCATGCCATGCCATGCCATGCCATGCCATGCCATGCCATGCCATGCCATGCCATGCCATAGAGATCAGTGCTCAAAGTGTGATATTTGAGGCTGGCCTGTGCTGTGCTACCACACTAACATAGGGACACAAAAAGGTTAACAGAACTTGTACTGTCTGGCAACTGTACTGTATGGTCCCTTTTATATGGCCAAATGTTTCCTCATTTCTTTGTTGAAATACTTCACTACTGTAGAAGACTTAAGCCCAAATGGATGGTGACAGAAATACTGATCTCTGTGCACCATGCTACAGTACATGTTATAGAGGAGACATAAATGTTTTGTCCATCATGGCAACTTTTGTCATATTTCGTCTGTATGTTGAAAAAGTTGCAAGAGTTCTTTTTTTTTTTTTGCAGTTCTTCCCCAAAATGGCCCCTTTGCATCATTAATAGGAACCTGCAATTTCTTTGTAAAGTAAGGACAGTCAGTCATTATCATATGTACTACAGACAGCTATTCATTGTCTAGTCCATGAGCTACAGTCAGCTCTTAAACAAAAGACTGGCCTGACATAGTTCAGATATTATGAGTAACGTGTTGGAGACTACATCAGTGCTTTCCCATTTCTACACAGCAAAGATCTGCTTCATCAAACCACTGAAGGATCTTTAATAAAGTCTGTCATGGCTTGGGGAAAAAAATGAGTAATTAAGAAAGGGTTATAAAGTTCCTCATATGCCTGGTTTTTTTAAAAAAATAAAAACAACAAAACAGGGTTGCTCACAAGTATGTAATCTTAAAATAGACAAAAACGTTATTGAGAAAAGTTAGAGGGTCAAACAGAACCAAAATAAAACAAAAATGACTCCTATGTTTTGAAAACTGCAGACTCACCAAAATCGGCTACACCCTCTTTCTTAGTAAGATGCACATGGTAGACACTCAAAGGAAAGATTTCTATTTCATCATATATCTGTAGGAGAGAAAACATCATCTCAAGTTGAACTGAGGATAGATCCACAATTTCAGAATGCACTCAGAAAAGAAGCCCCATAGCGTCACTGTTAGGACCAGCGCTTTGTAACAAGCAGCTGCTTTGTAAGGCTGTTTGCAGATGCCATTAAAGAGCAGAACATTGCCAACTCCTTTGACTATCACATCAGTTCTGCTGCGATTTTATATCTCATTTGTTAGATTTTCTTTTAGTCACAATACAGTATTTTGGGGTAGGGCATAGAAAGTCATAGCCAAACAAATATATAAAAATTATGCTAACTATCATTTAAAATCTCAAAGACAGCATGATGGAGAATCCATCCATATTCTGTATTTGGACCAGATGCAAAGTCTTGCCTCTTTCTTTCATCTCACCTAGCTGCAGTTCTAGCCCTTTGAGCAATTTTCTCTCTGGCCTGGTCAAACTTTCAGTATCAAGGAGGGGCTACTAAAAAAACCTCTCAAGCATCAAGTACAGGTGAAGGTGGGAGAAGGTGTGCCTAGACAAGTAAGATCCTTCAACTGACTTGACCTGTGAATGCAACAGATACCTGAATAAAGGTGGCTGCCTTATCACATCTGTTTTTGATTTTTAAATGTTAAAGAGCAGCCACAAATTAAGGTGTTACGAAGCCCATAGACATTAGAATCACCAGCCTGTTAGCAAACTTGTAAATTTGAATGAGAATGGTAAGAACTCCTCATCTAGAAATGGAGGTATGCCTCACCCTAACTTAATAAAGAGGTGCACAGCCTAAAGCTTCAGGGATATGAAAAACAGATCTCCTCCTAAAATAGCTACAGAATTCTTGATTTTTTATGTGACAGAAAGGAAGGATATTAAATAACTAGGGAATGATCCCATTTTAATTTAGTTTTAATTATATTCAAATTAAAATGCACTTCATTCTGGTCACTATCCCACTTATTTTCTTCCCTTAGCAATCCCCCCCCCCAAAAAAAAATTCAGCACAGCCTTTGCAATGTCACATAAAGACTAAGTGGGTTTTCAGGCTGAAAAAGGATGTGCCTAGTCTAAAACAACGTTAATTAATTTTTAGCAATCTGTTCTTTTACATTGAGTTCGGCTACGGCTAAGTTTTACACATCCGGATCTATCCAGCTCAGCCGATATATATTAGTTTTGCTTTTGCTCACCCTCTTTAGGACTAGAGGTATAGTCCAGCACATTTGAATGTCACCAGGTTATAGAAGGCTATTTCTACCATTTATCTGAAGACAAGGCTTCTAATGTTTTTCTCCACCTCACAGATCCGTTATTTGTGCCTAATTCCCTTTTGATTATGAGAGGACTGCTCATAATCAAGAAGTGTTTGGAGAATTTCATTTCTTGGTGTTTGAGATTATACAATCTGTGGCAAGTTATACTCCTTAGGTGTCTTTTATTCTAAGGTGGACAACTTACAGATAAAATGTATTCTATCTATTGTTCTGTCCAACTGCACAACTCTGCAAAATTTGTCATGTTTTCTGTAAGAATAAAAGGTTATAATCCCTCAAATAAGGATTATGATGAAGGAACTGATGTCTTGATCCTGTGCACTTGCCTGGTCTTGAATATATTCATACATTTCAGGGATGCAGCATTCAGTATTTTCATCCATAAGCCTTCTAAGTTGTAAGCCATAATGTCTTGGCTCCATCTGTTTAGTCTAAAGGATGAAAAGAAAATATATATAAATTTAGAAACTATTTGTACAAATATTTATCATAACAGAAATAGAGATACATCTTCCTTCAACAGGTCACTTCCTAAATAACTAATATGCACCTTCATAAATAAATCATGCAGGTTGTAAAGTATATGTATCAGTGCAATTCTATTGCTTTTAGAAACCAAGAGTTTCTAATATTATTTCTTATATAGAAAAAGCAGCAAGTGGTAAGATAAACTTTAAATCTTGTCCAGTTTATACTAGCATTTCTACAGATTTCACAGGTGGCTTAATTCTACTCCATAAAACAGACACATGATTGGATGGATGGATGGATGGATGGATGGATGGATACAGGCTGTCAAAAGAAAGGAGTTTTTGCTGTGAGTTGGCTCTTCCTGCATTTTTATTTTTAATTTCATCTGAAATTGTGAAACACTTAAGCTTGAATTCTATGGTAAATACTGATGCACAAAATATCTTTCCCTTCTGCACACAGAAGGAGGTTTGCTCTATGGAAGCCTTCTGCAAATAGAAAGGAAGAAGGCCATTTTTAAAATTCCCACTACCATTTCTCATATTGTTTCAAAGAGTCCTCCAACAACCAAGAAGCACGGTGGTTGGTTTCTTGTTTGGCTTTTTTGTGGGCAATGAAACGGAGAGTGAATGGAACCCCACTGAGAAGTTTAGAACACTTGCATCGTATCTCCAATTACAATTTTCTTCCTATTTTCTCCTTTCTTCATTTAAAGTTCCTTTTGCATACAGGTATTTGGCTACATTGTTTTAAAAGGGAATTTATTAAAATATTTCTCACGTGCAAGACTGCATGCCTGCATACCTGACTCTTATTCATAACATTTTGTTCAATTCTATATTTCTGAGTTTGGAGCTGGGTGAGATTCCTGCGAGAGTGGCTGGAAAAACTAGAATATGTCCAGGAGTTTCAATCAGACTAGCAGCAATTACAATGATTTTTTACTGGAAAACCCTAAAGATGGGATCCCCAACAGCATAAAATGAACCCCACTTCTCAAATACATAGAACACGTTCTGACCATGCTTCACTCAATATTTTAAAGATATCTTAATTTTGAACAATGGGAAGCCTGACATGTTGCAAAGCAAAACACAAACCAAAAACATAATCTGTATTTTCAAAAATGTCTCTGGGCTTCACACAGACCTCAAGGCATTCTTAGAGAACATGACAGGTAGCTATAGTCCACTGCTTTCCTTGGAAGAGGGCCCACAGAAAAGAGGAGGAAAAAAATGGTACACTGAGGTAGTAGAGTCCATGCCGGAGGCTATCAGGGATGGTAGCAAATGATTTCACCTGTCTGACATCTGGCTGTGGCCACCATGACAGTTATTATATCAATATTATGCTATCAACAGTCCAATGTGTTCATTGCTCCCTTGTTTGAGATGACTGATCAGATTGGAAATTAGCCATGTGTTCACACATTCCTCCTCCTCCCACCTCAATCCTTTGCACACCTGGCTTGGGCACAGATACTCTATACTATTCTCTCAGGTGCCTTAATAGAAATGTGTGGTCTAAACATTTTCCAAGCCATGATCCAATACTACTTTCATCCTCTGATTTGGTTTCCTGCTCCACACATCACAGATAAAGATATGTATCTTTTATTTTTGTTTTTATAGATATCATCACCAGCAGTTGATAAATATAATGAAAACGGAAGAGGGAATGTGTATACATATGGCCCTTTCCAGACACAGTAAATATGGGTTTTCAGATTAAGATCATAACACTTGAACCTAATCTACAATGAATTCAATTACATATTTCTACAGGATTTGTAACATTTTCAGACCAAGGAAGGAAGGAAGGAATAGCTTTCCCCAAACTCACAATTTGGATTTTCTTACAATATCTCAGCATATAACCTCTGCATTAACTAATACTGTTGCCACACATACTCATTTTCAAGCAGAATATACAATATTACAAACCTCTAAGGATTAAGACCATAATGGATATGTTGTTATTTTTATAACTTTTATTATATAACTTTTTCTTGGATTATCCTTCCAAGTAATCTGGTATTTCTTTGAGGGAGCTATTTAGAAAAAAATCTGATACAGGTAGTCCTTGTTTAGCGACTGCCTCAGATAGTAACAGTTCACAGTTACGATGGTGATGAAAAAGTAACTTTGTGACCAACGCCTACATTTACGACCTTCGCAGGTCTGTAAAGCAAAGGAAAGCTGAAGTAAGTTGGTAAGCACAGTCGTAGTTTCACTTAGCGACTGCTTCGCTTAATAACCAAGTTGCCAGTCCCAACTATGGTCGCTAAACGAGGACTACCTGTATACAACAATGGTCTGTTGAACCTAAATAGCAAATAAATCATATTCTTACTCTAACATCAAACTGCAACTCAGCAGCTAAAAGAAATTATCCCTGACTGTACTTACTGCACAGTCTCAGATAGATGAGAAACCTAACCCCCTTTTTTTCATTTCTTAGCCAACTCTGCATCAGATGGAAATGCGAACAAATACAAAACTTCAAACATAACCATTGAGCTAAGGAGACAAAATTCCTGACATTCACCAGAAAAGCACTGAAAGTTTAGAAAAAAGGACCAGGGAAGATGTAGCGGAAAGGAGTCAGCACTAAGAGACTTTGAATGGAAACTTCTTTTAAGAACATCAAACAAAAGATAAAACAGAAAAAAAGTTTTAACTGAAAAAGAAGTCAAGAAAGATACAGTGAAGAAATATATGCAAAAAATGAATAAAATTAGCTTTTGTTTATAATTTTTATTTATATTACAACCCAATAGAGTCATTATATAGTTAACATCGTGGTTAAAGGCAAACAGTGCCTTTACTAAGGTACATTATACAAACAATTATAGATAATCTTTTTTAAGACTATTTCCTTTCTCAGAACTTTCCCACTAGTCTTTGGGACTCTCCTGCCACCTTGTGGTCACCCAAAGATATCTTACAATTGCCTGTCTTTTCTCTTTCTCTCAAAATAGAAAGTGCTAGTGATAAAAACTGAACCTAAAAATCCCCTCTGGGTTTTAATAGCTAGAATATTATCAGGGGGAAAAAAAAAATCTCTGGGATCCTGGGGCAAGGTTAATGCTCTTCTCCCAGGCTTTAGGACAGGGTAGTTGCAGCCCCACAGTGTGTATGTATGTTGCTGTTGATTGATTCTGCCATTTTATTTGTTGTTTATTTTATCTGGATTGCATCTTGCTGTTTGTTTTTTATTCTGTGAGTCACCCAGAATCAGCTGGAGTTGGATGGGGTGTCCAAGTAGAATGAATGAATGGATTAATTAATTAAATAAAATGTTTCTTTATTTTCTATATAATCAAAACCAGTGAACATAGCTCCAGTTGAAATAAGGGAAGATGGCATGATACTCTTGTCTAGTTCTAACAGGATTGCAAAACACAGAGCGGCCCAATCCTATTAAGTGTAACTAAAGCAGATCTGTAAGATTACTAACACCAATATCCCTTCCTCCACAAACCTACAGCTAAGTACAGACAGGTGTTACTAAAAACAAAATCAACTTAATTACATTGAATTTGGACTTAAATACATCCAATTTCAGTTCAGCAGTTTCCTTTTGCTCAATAAAATAGGCATCTGGGTTACTTTCTGCTACTAACAGCAAATCTGCTTATTTGTATAATTGGACTTAGGGCATTAAGTTTGTCACTGCATTTCCATGTTTTATCCAGAAAAATACATTGATTATATTGCTTCCTTACCATCCAAAGTAAGCAGTCATCTAATATGAAACTTTAAAACAGATTTTGGAGAAAGGGAGACAAGATGGCTTTATTTTCTAAATCAGTTAGTTACTAAATACTTTTTCAAGATTCTTGGATTTTAAATTACTCATATTTTGTTTGCTGGCTTGTCTATTAAAGGTAAATAATTTTAGAGACAGGAGACAGAGAGATTTAAGATTACTGAGCTTTCAAGATCTAAGAGTATAGTTAAATGATAATATTAAGATGTACCTTGCAAGCCAGGATCAACACATCATTTATTTTGTGATTTGGCTTGAGGGTTAACATTATTCCTTGGCCATCAGGGTACCGAACCAATGACTGGATGTCCCAGATATTTTCTTTTGAAGCATTTTCTGGAGCTGAGTAGTAAACATTTAGAAATTCATCTACTTTCTGCTGAGAGAAAAGAACATACAACAATTTAATAAATAATTAAAAAAGAAAAAGAACAAAGGGTCTACTTGCCTAATAAAATATTAAAAATCACATCTCAGATCATGACTTTATTTTTAAATTACCTATACATTTGGTAAAAAGATAGCTGAAAACAAAGTGTATGTAGCAGCCTTTCATGTCAATATTTTTACATCAATATTCTAGAATGCTTTCAATCAATTTTTAAATAAAAATGAAGACCTATAATAGGATGGAATGGAATGAAAAAAACTGTAGCTTTGGTTGATATCCCTCCCAAACATCACATCCCTCCTCTACCTCTTTTTCTTAAAAAATCATTCACAAACATGACATTTTAGTGGAAATGGAAGAATTTAGAGAATGTTAATTCTACTGACTGCTACATTTGATTTTGTGTTTACTCTAGATGTAACTGTACTCTCTTATGTAAGCCACATAGAGAATTTCTCTTTAGCTGACAGACTACAAATATAATCAATCTGCAAGCAGAGGTAAACATGAAGAGTAAAATATAATCTTCGAAGAAAAATCAGAGCACACATTTTGAAAAGCACCTTTATATGTTAGAATATATAAAAATATCTCTAATGCTCCAGTCATACCCACAATTTCATATCTTTTCCTAAACTACCCTTTCTCTCTAAAGCTGAATGCTGTGGTTCAGTGTTTTAACTTTTATGAGAGTTTCTTGGATGTCAGAACGTTGTCAGCAATTTTATGAATTTCAAATTGGCAGGCTTTTAAAAATTTTGCAATACAAGCAACAGAGCTGAAATGCAACAATTAATTTATGAAAGAAAGGTATCAGTTGCTGCTTCCACCTAGGTACCTGATCACAAAACAGAGGATCCACAAGAAAATGTCCTAGGCAACTGGAAGATCATTCAGATACCACCATGTATTTAAAAACCAAAAAAGAAAACAGGATACATCTCATCTTGTCTCATGTCAGAAATGCAGGAACTTGAAAAGGGGAAATTAATCTAAATTTAAAAAATTAAAAACTTTAATAAAAATATAGATTTATATAATTTTTGCCCAATTCCGGGCCACATTGATGGCAAAAGTATTTCTGACCAGCAAGTCATTCTATGTGCATGTCGGTCCCAAGGGACACTGTAAAAGATGGATAGTTGTTTGAATAGTGCCACATTCACAGTAAATATCTTTGTCCTCAGGGAGAAACCCCCATCTTTCCATATGGTCTTTAGTTCTAGCCAAACCAGTGCACAGTCTGTTTAAACATCTACAAACCATCCACTCCTCCTCTGAACCTCCAGGCAACTCCTCAAGCAGCTCTATCCAATCATAAAGATGTTTTGCTTGAGATTTCCATCTTTTTAATCGTTCTGTGTGGTAACAATCTCCTCGGCGCAGTCTAAAAAGCTCCTTCTTGATTTCAATCTTTTTGTAGGAGGTACTTGGCCAAATAATGGGTGTGCCGGATCATGTAACACCTTTCCATATTCCACATCTTGTGCCCCATTCCTTCTAACACCTGGTGGGGCTATTCCCGCCAAGATATACAATTTATCAAGTGGAGTGGGGCGCAGACATCCAGTGACAATGCGACATGTATCACTAAGCACCCTATCCACGCGTATAGAGTGCACAGACTGGCCCAAAATGGGGCAGGCGTACTCTGTTGCCGAGTAACGCAATGCAAGGGCAGCCATTTGTAAAGTAATGGGGTGGGCACCCCAGATAGTTTCAGCCAACTTTCTGAGATTATTACAGGTGGAGATCTTTTGCTTTAAGTTGCAACAGTATCTTTTAAAAGTTAATGTTTGGTCCAATGTAACGCCAAGGTAACATGATGTCTCACAATATGGCAGACTCACTCCATCCCAGATAATATCAAGCCTACATCTGGCCTGCCTGTTTTTGAGATGGAATGCAGAGACATTACTTTTTGATGGATTAGGTTTTAGTCCATTCTCGTTATAGTATTCTGACATATTCTTAAGAGCCACAGTAAGCCTAACTTCCACCTCCTCAAAGTTAGTTCCCTGAGCAGTAAGTACCAAATCATCAGCACAGATGAAAGACAATGTATCAGGACCAACAGGCTGATCATTGGTATATATATTAAATAACAGGGGGGCAAGAACACTCTCCAGAGGAAGGCCATGTTACTGGGCTCTCCACCAGCTCTTTTTTCCCTGGAAGTCGATGAAAAATCGTCGATTTGGCTGATCATTGGTATATATATTAAATAACAGGGGGGCAAGAACACTCTCCAGAGGAAGGCCATGTTACTGGGCTCTCCACCAGCTCTTTTTTCCCTGGAAGTCGATGAAAAATCGTCGATTTTCAAGTATTGCCTCGATACATTTAGTAAGAGCAAGTTCATGTGTGATATAATTTCAAGAGAAGTTTCCTGTGATTAACTGTGTCACAGGCCCCAGATAAATCCACGAAAAGAGCTCCCATAATTAGACCTAATTGAAAGCCATCCTCTATATGCTGAACGAGTTTAAGTATCTGGCCTGTGCAGGACTTCCCTGGCCGGAAACCAGCTTGTTGGGGAATAAGAGTTGGTTCAATAACAGGAAACATCCTATTTAATAGAACTCTCTCATAGAGTTTGAAAGGATGGCAAAGGAGGGAAATTGGGCAAAAATTCTTTGGGTCATTCGGTTCTTTTCCGGGTTTCAAAACTGCAATAACCCAGGCTTTCCTCCAAGTCTTTGGAATACAATTTGAGGCTACGCATGCATTAAAAAGTAATAACAACCACTGTTTGGCAAAATCTCTGAAATTTTTTATTTGTTCAACACGAATATCATCCAGTCCCGCGGCTTCACCATTCTTCATATCATGAATTCTTAAGAGCCAGAGGATACATCAAGAGAAATCTTTTAAAAACGATCGAATTAGGAACTGAAGTTACAATAGTTTCAGTAAAATGGAGGGCTCAACTACATGTTAACCTGAAAATGAAGTTAGCAGCTCCTTTTCGTTTTTATATTTGGGATTCCTCTCCCAACCAGGTGAGGAGAATTAGTATTTTAATCTCCAGCCTAATTCTACTTACACTTTAAATAAGCAAACAATTACAATGAAGAAATTGCTACTGTTAACTGGGTTTCAGTTTCTCAGAATTATTCTCATAGGCCTTTGCTCTCAAAATGACATTTATTATTCATGTGTGTGTTTATGTGTATATATGTACACACAAACACACACACAGAGAAATAAACTTATAACTGATTCAATAAACATTAGGTTAAAATTTTATTCAGCACTTTCATCAACAGAGGGCAATGTAACTCAGTATCACTTCTACAGAGATGTAGGGTACTATGAAGTTATGCTACACTCACATGAATTTCTTTTATTTCCCTCGTATTAAAAAGTCAGCAATATTTGTCAAAACCTTATTTATGAATGCAAATTTTCTTATGTCCTTCATATTAAAAAATCAGTAACCTGTGTCAAAACTTCAACATTTAGACCACAATCACTGAAAGAAGACTAGAAAATGTTTCTATATCAAAAGACATAAGGCAAAAGCTATCTATAAAAACAGACCCCAGCACTCTTTTTCATCAGGGATCAGCTTCATACTACGTATTGTTAGGCAGTAGTTGTGACGAAATATCGTTTTCACAATTAGTGGAGAGATATGCATTCTAAAGTGTGGCAGGAGTGTCACTTTTCCTTGAACCCCCAACTCATTCTTTTTCACAGCAGCAAAGATATTTATGTTCAAAGCATTTCAATTAAGCTTTATTATTTTAATGTCCAAAAGGTTTATTTATTTGTTATATTTGAATCCCATCTTTCTTCTATGAGCGCAAGGCAACAAGCCTTCCTAAAGATCCTCTTCCACAGAGGCAATCTATGCAGAATCATTAACAAAGATCACATTTTCAAGTATGAAAAAATACTTATTTCCACTCTGCTGGAAATCTTCAAAAAGGAAGTCTAATGTAAATAGAAATATAGGAAAAAGATTGCCTATAAAAAGAATATTTCGTAGTCCTTATTTGCGGTATAGGTATAAAAAGCAAGGGCAGGATATATTTTAACGAATAAAAAAATAAAATAGTACTTTGTTGTTGTTCAGTCGTTAAGTCGTGTCCGACTCTTCGTGACCCCATGAACCATATTGCGCCAGGCCTTCCTGTCCCAGTTACTTAATATGCATATTAACATATGTCTAATAGCTTTACACTTTAGAAGTACGTTTGTTCCCATCTTCAAATTGATTTAATCTTTGCAATAACTAGATATGAAGATTTAGTGAAATGCAATAGAAGGTTTGCCTAAGTCCATTTTCCTTGCCTAACATTCATAATACATCTGCACAAATGGTTTTAGGTTTGCCAAGATTATAAACACTTAAAAAAAAAATATGATGGAAAAAATCCCATACAATTTTTAAAAGAAAAAGAAATGGCTGACTACGTTCAAGAAATGGCTGTTCCTTCTATATTTTCCAACTTCGAAACTAAGTGGTTAGATTTCTCCTCAGTTATTTCTGCTCTGTGACTAATATCACAATACTTTATTCATTTATTGCCACAGAGTTCTGACAACACATTCAGTTTTCCAGCAATTTATGCCAAGTTTGTAGTGTGCACTATATTTTGCCACAGTGTTGCTGGAAAAGCAATTGCTTACTTTATAACTTTCCTGTCTTTGTCACCATTTTTATATGAAACACCTCCGAAAACCTGTGTGCTTCACTAAACTCATTAGGAAATTCCTTGTAACAATCTGAGCTTTATTTTTTCTTTAAAACGTCCTAACAGAATAGGCTCGTTTCCAGCTTTGGTGATTTAGCGAGTTACAATTAATCATTTCTCTGAATAAGTGAATGAGGTATTACGGAGTCTGCAGCACCTCCTGTATATACAATTCAATTCCATTAAACACTTATACAGCTGAAATGCCACAGCTTATTCATCTAGTAGACGTAAGACTGGGGCTAATACAGTGAAGCAAGTTCCACAAATTCAGCTTCACATCAAGGCATGCTCACAATGGATGTATTTTCCTACTGGCCTTAGAAGCAGGGCCATGGAAATAAGAATGTAACAGCAGAGATACTTTCAATGGGACCATTTTAAATGCACATTTATCCATCTTGCATAAAGCAATGTCATCATATCCAACAACCCCACAGTACTAGAACTTCAGATAAAGAGGACTTCTATTTAAAAGACTTTTACTTTTAAGGAGAGATTTTTAAAAAAATGTTTGTAGTATCAACTGGTAATTTTATTTTATTTTTTATTTTATTTTGGTAAAATGTAGTTTGATGTAACAAAAGAACTGGATACAGAGGTGTGTGAAGGTTACTTATAGTGTTTGGGGAGGGGAGGGGAGTCAGATTAGAATAAAATGATGGACCAGATGCCAACTTATTACATCAGTAACATGGTACCATCAAGTAACAAGGCTCACTCTTAAAAGCGGTTCATTTAAATTTTTACTTTTAAAACTGGTATTTTAAACCCCCAAATTTCGTACAAGAATGCCAGAATCTTAAGAGATTTTGGCATGAGAATTCAAGAAATCATAGAAGAAAGATTGCCAACTACTGATTTATGATATTATTGAAGCCTTTACTTATTAAAAGTTTTTCAGCGACAAAAGTTGCTCTGGTCTGAAAGGCCACTTCCCCTTTCCCAAAGCTATTAATCTCTCCTTACTGGGAAGTCAGCGTTTCCCAAGGATTCACTATTCTAAAGAAAGTGGCTCCAAGTTCTTCGAACTAGCACCTCTTTGAAAGTGTAATGGAAATGTAGATCAGTGGGAGAAGTTGGTATCCACCGATGTAAGTGTTTCTAGTACAGTGAAGTCACTCCTGACCAGAAGTTATCGTTTACTTGATCTGGGGAGCTTTGGTGTCATCCAACATCATCCAGACCTTAGGAGTTGGCCTAGAAAACATTTCCACAGTATAGATCATCTTCTCTATTCCTGGTTTACAAAGCCAAGGCCCTCACATAAGGTTCTCTAGACAGTTATGACTAACCCATTTTAAGTAAAAATGACAATACATGCTTCACATTTGTTGTCTGAGAGTGAAAATTAGATACTATAATTATAAAGGCCCCATTTCTGGACAAAAGAATGCAACCTGCAACTACTGCCCAGTAGTTTTGGATATATGAGCTCATTAATTGTATTAAATGAATCACATATTCATTGATTAAATATAGCTGAGTGGTATTCAGTCTACAGAGATAAAAACAAGTGAATGCTCCTATCCCAGCATAGAAATCTCACATAAAGTGTTTCTGTAAATGAAAAACCATAATACTTTAGCAAGTTAATGTTTGTGGGGCAAATCAGTGTGACAAAACTGTGAGTTGCAAGAAATGCAAAGATTTATCTAAGAGCCAGCCGCAGGGGCCTGTATGGGAAAGATAAAGTATTTTTCCCCTTAAGAATCAGATAAAGTAAGGACTCCCAGTCCAATCTGCTTGTTTGTCATATATTTATAACAGTTGCAAATATATTGAGCAAGCGGAAGATAAATTAGTTGTATTTCATTATATTACCTCAGCAGAATTACTGCAATTCTGAGGTAGCTGTGTTCCAGGAACTCCATGCCCTCCAGTTGAGTCAAAAATCTAATTAAAGAAAACATAAATTAACATAAGCATCATTTCATAGTATCACTGTTTCACTTGCATAAAAGGAAGAAAACCAAATAAAGTAAATGTATAAATTGATTCGCTACAAAATATCTACCTGCTGCGAGTGCTGGGTACTGGCTGAAAGAGAGATGCTGTTTCATGAAGAAGCAGTCCTAATTCTGCGTTTGTCCCAGAGACAACCGGGGTAGCATCATATGTGCCTAACTAGGGGGAAGATAAATGTGGGGTAGGAGCGCCTTGCATAAGACTCTTCCTGCAATGGGTTTCAAAACCCTTCAGCTTCCCTTATCCAAAAAATTGTCAGAAGGGACTATGGGGCAAGGACAATACAAGCAGCGCGGGAAGCCAGATTCAGTTGTTTAGCAGAGTAACCACATAATCAAATGGAGCTTAATTTTTGTTTTATTGACCCATAGCAGAGTCAGATTTCACACATGTCATAGCTGGAGGAGGATGTGATGCCTAGGAATACATGGATCTTCCCTATCTCTCTTCCTCTACAGAGAGTAAAAGGTAAATTTAAAAATACAGGTAGTCCTCATTTAGTGACCACAATCAGGACTGGCAACCTGGTCACTAAATGAAGCAGTCACTAAGTGAAACTGACTGTGCTTACAATTTTATTTCAGCTCTCCTTTACTGCTTTACTGATGTGCAAATATTGTAAATACAGACATTGGTCACAAACACTTTTTCATCACTGTTGTAACTGCCAACGGTCACTGTCCAGGGCAGTTGCTAAGCGAGGACTACCTGTACATTAAGACCAAGACTTAAATGTATGGCATTAAAACAATTAAAAAACCTGTTTCTGTGAAAAAAGAAAATAGTTTGTTTTTCCATTTTAATCTTGTAACAGACAAACAAGGATAAGCTCTTTTTTTTGGTTGCCATTGCCATTAAAGTACTAACTCAGCAACTGACAACTTTTTGTTATCAAATGATTATAAGATCCTGAAAGACACAAGCTTAGTTGGCTGCTGCTAACTCCTAGAGAAGATATTCATCAGTATTTTTCTGTGGAGTCCTTGGTGCTCTCTGAGCCTGGTTGTTTGCTTGCAGGCATTTCATTACCCGATTAGGTAACATCATCAGTGCTAGTGAGTGTGGGGTTTGCTCCCTGTTTATATACAGTAGCTTGCCCTGCCAGTGTTGGTGGGGGTGTGGTTTTCTCCTTGGTAGTTCCTTGATTAGGACACGGTTTTCTGCTTGTTTTTCTGGTGTTAATCCCTGCTTATCTGGGTGTTGGCTGCTGGAGAGGATGTGTTCTGGTCTTTTAGTTTCCTTCTTAGCTTTTTTATTGTCTCTTTTGAA